CGGAGGCCGCTGTCGACGCTCCCGCCCAAGCGGGATCCCTTCCGCAGGCAGTCGGGGGGTTTCCAGCCGGGGTGGCAGTGGCAATGTCTCTTATTATTGCACACCTGAAAAGCCCGGGGTGGATGGTAAAAGTTTGCAATAAATTCATGCAATGGATTCTCCTGCCCAGACCGGCAACAGTCTCGCTGCCGCCGGTCGGGTTGGGACAAAGCTACGCACGCTTTCTGGCATTCCGGCAATTTAGGAAGCGTATCAGACAAGGAGCACACCATAAAGTGCAGGCTCTAGCAGCCTTGAGACAATGAACAAGCATAAAACATCACCCTCCTGCAAAACCCGCGTGCATTTCTGTCTGATAAGCAGAAAACAGGAGCAGCTTGCCCCGGCTATCCGCACTCCAGAGCCAGGCAGGGGTCCAGAGAGCCCAGCAGCCCTCCGTGCATCACAATGCAGCTCTCCTGCTCCCTGCAGCCACACCTGTTTTATCTACATGAGCTCCGTTGCCCTCAATTGCATGTCCCTTCAATTTTGCTTTCTTTTCCCCCCCCTCTACAAACCAAACAAACCATCAAATCCTCCACTTCAGTGAATAAAAACTGTCACTATATTTTGATACTGCTTTTAGGACCAATAGTTTAAATGGGTTTACTCCATGTACTAGCTGACAAGGTCATGATTTTGTAGAGTATCAGCCTAAAATGGGTCTTCAGCCAGTTCCCATACAAGCCACAGCAAATCTTTACGACAAAGCCACCCGCCCTCCGCAGCGCCACGCGTGCTGCATGGAGTGACTTACGCCGTGGCCGTGGCACTTCACTGCGCTGTCACAGTCATATCCCAGGACCGAATGCGGGTGACAAGTGTTGTTTATACACACCTAGCAAAAACCACAACAGTTCAGTTCAGCATTGCTCTACCATCGCAGAACTCAGCCCATCAGCCTTATGCCTCAAAAGGGAGTGAAAATATACTACTACTTAAAAAATAACAGTGCTTTTAAAAAGCTACATTTACTACCTCGGGGTTGGGTTATGTCTAATGCTTACACCATGCCAAACCCTTAATGCAATGTTAGCATGTTTTTACAGCATTTGTAAATATCAGGTACACTTATGCTGCAAAGGAACAAATATTTCTAAAACCTTTTTATCATTTACAATTTATATCTGACATTTTAGATTATTATAAAATGTTTTCTTACCTTTCCAGAACCACACTTTGTACCTGGCGGAACCAGAAGAGGATCCAGCCTTGCTGGTGCATTCAAATAATCCAAAGATACACATAAATGCTCACGCACTTGGACGTAAACAACAGCAGCAGAGTCTGATGCGAATGGAGTGCTGTATGGATACGTGCAGATTAACTTTCCACATCTGAGATTCCTATAAAATTGATTTGCATAGGATGTGTATCACACACACACACACATATATATATACACGCTACCTGATGAAACACTAGAAACATTAAACAGCGCAATACAAATCTGGAGCACTGCATGATAAGAGAAAAAAAAAAAGCAGGATCGGGAAGTCCAAGAGAGGATCTGTGACATACGGGGAGATGCCATATTACTAACAAGGAGAACTGACGCATAACTGTCTATTTATTGCTTCACAAATCTTACTATCAACTGGCGTCTTGATACTTTCCTTGTCTGTAAAGTCCCAATTAACTATGCATTTTTAGCAGAGCAAGCGCCCTTTCCCTAGAGCATACCTCCAGGCACAGGACTTATAGCCTTGTCTGGGCTGGAACCCGCAGTGTCCAAATCTGTCCCGCTGACTATTGAGTTCCTCGTAACAAGCCACAGGAGCATTTTTTGAACCTACAAGTTTAGCAATAATATTTATTATCATTTAAAGGAACACAAAGGGACATATTATGGTATCTAATAATTTTTCATCCTGTTCACAGCAGAGCATAGATGCTGTTTACTAATTAGAGAAAATATAATACCTGTCCCTGAACTGCCAAACCCTCGGCAGTCCTGAACTCCAGGAACATGGGATTAGCAAACAGTAGGTTAGCTCTCTGATTAAGTTTGCTCACAGATAATAACTTGGTTTTTTTGTTGTTGTTTTCATTGTTATCTCTGAAGAATTGGGAGAACTACGTGCTGCTGAAGTGGATATTAACCAGAGTCAAAACTGAGCTTGAAATGCTTTCCTAAAGCTATGTCCCTTCCCTCCTCGGGTGCCCCACTCCACCCCTCTGCCCTCCTTTCGGGTACTGCCCCCCACCCTTCCCAGGCACCACAGTCTGCTCTCCCTCCTGCCCCCTAACTGCATGCACAAGGAGAAGCCAGGACACAAGGCACAAGTCTTGCACGGAGCGCTGTGCCTCATCACTCATATCAGATGCGTTCCAGGGCAGTCCCTAAAAACCCTCCTGCTTCAACAGGTGCTTGAAACTGGGTTCGGGCTCACAGGGGAAGTATCAGAAACAAGTTACCAACCAACCACAAACCCTCATTTCCACCGAAACCAGGCTAAAAAGACACAATGAGACCGGCCTGAGATCGATGCATTAGAAAGCAAAGACACAAACTGAGCGTCGTTACTACTGCAGCCACCTCCTGCACCTGGGCAGTACCAGTAGTACCAGCACAACCAGAGCAACCTCTGCTACCTCTCC